CGGTCTCCCCATCTGTCCAGCAGGGCGAGCACCAGCGGGTTGCTGGGAGGCTCCAACGTCCTCACACATCCTCAGGCAGCGAGGGGCCCCAACTCACAGAGCTTAGGTGCTGTGGCCATTTCCCATGCCGGTCTTGGCTTCAAAGCCAGGCCGACTAGATAATGGCCCTGGGTGTCCCCTGGGCAGCTTGGACAGCCTACCTGCTGCGCATAGCCTCGAAACATCGGGTTGACCAACTTGATCCCATGGGACAGGCTGGCGGGGACCACACAGCTTGGGCTGTAGGAAGACCAGACGCGTTAGTGCAGGTGGCCTGCCTGGGCTCTCGACCCCGTGAGGGCTGGCCACAGTCAGCCGGCGGGGTGGGCTCAGACTCGGCGAGGCATTTGCTGTGCCTTTGGGGGTGCCGACACACCAGGGGCCTTGGTAGACTCTTGCATCTCTACGGTCAAGTGGGAAAATGTCAGGGTGTGGCCCACCGGAGTAAAAGGCTCTTGACAAGCCTATTTTAAAACTGTTTTCACTCTAAAATATTTATTGTAGTCTTCTTTCAAAAGTCATATATGTTCATTATTGAAACGGCTAAAATTTCAGAAAAGCCCCACAAAGAAACATTACTGCTAAATGCATCACCCACGCATTACTACCATTAAGATTTCTAGATTTTTCTGTGAAAATACAGACGTTTACAAAATTACATACAGGTATACACTGAAACTTCGCTTATTGGGAAATCAGAATTATATAGTATCACATAGTCTTATAATCTGCTTCTACCCTTAATGTATTTCTATGCCCCATTTTAAATTATTCCCAATTTTGACTTTTTCTGGAGAAACAGGTCTAATCCAAGCTGCCTGTCTTTAAATTCATTTCACACTGGGCTGAAGGGCCAGCCACTACTTATGAGGTTCCTTCCTACGTGCACGGTCACGGCTGAGACCCAGGAGCAGCCACAGCACGTGTCTGGGCCTTGACAGCCGGCTCAGATCAATGCCAGGTTCGCATTCTAGCTCCACCTCTCACGAGCTGCGTGACCTTGAGCAAGGTACTTAAATCTTGCTGAACCTCAGTCGCCCAACTTGGAAAACAGAGTTGGCAACAGCGTCCACCTCGCAGGGTTGCCGAAAACACCATGGGGGTAGACTACAGCAAGTGCCCGGTGGGGTCTGAGAGGACACCCCTGGCCCCACACGCCTGCCCTAGTCAGGGCTGTCACTCACCGTTTCCTGTGCCAGACCTCAGAAACCAGCTTCTGGTAACTCTTGCACAGGGCTGGCTTCTTGTCTGTGCGCACTAGGCCTCCACACTCCAAGAAGAACTGGGTCAGCGGAGGGCTGGGGGTGGGGGGCAGCGAGCCAGGTCAGGAGAGACAAGAAGGGGAGCACGGCGTCTTTTAGAAAGAGCTGGCTGGAGAAGCACACGCTTCTAGTGTGGGGGAGCACTCCCCTGGGGGACACACTGCAGCCCCCTGGAGCCAGAAGTGCCTGTGGGTGACTACAAGGGTCCCACCTGTTACAGGCTGAACTGTGTCCCCCAAAGTTTCTAAGTTGGAGTCCTAACTCCACACCTCAGGGGTGGTCCCTAATCCAGTATAAATGGCGTCCTTACAGGAGGAGGAAATTTGGACACAAACGCGCACAGAGGGAAGATGGTGTGGAAACACAGAAGGCGGCCATCTATAAGCCCGGCAGAGAGGCCTCAGAAGAAACCAACCCCACCAACACCGTGATCCTGGACTTCCAGCCTCAGAACTCAGAAGACAGAGAATTTCTGCTGGTCGGGCCACCTGGTCTGTGGCGCGTTGTGGTGGTGGCCTCGGCAAACTGACACAGCCCTTTCCCCAACCAGATCAGCTGAGCTGTCCAATTTAGGGCCGGTGGGGTGAGGGGAGGGGACGGGCCGTTACGTCCTGCTCGCTCAGCCCATTCTGTGGAAACCTTCCCGAGCCTGAGAGCGTCTCTCCCATCCGCCTCTTCCTTCTGTTTTTAAAACTTATCTCGTTATGCGAGAAATAACGTTCATGGTAGAAAAACTAGAAAATGTAGATAAGCAACCATAAGAATCGACCTTAACCCCTACCACGTGAAGGCAGCTACCCTAAAGATTTGAGGGCGTATCCTCCCCGACTTTCTTACGTGTCACGTCCCCACCCTCCCTCACGTGCACGTATACTGAATCCCGACCAGGTGGCCTCACGGAGTTGACAGCCTCTTTCGGTAAAAATTAATATTTCCTCCCAAATGGGATCACGCCGCACAAAGCTGCATAACCTCCTCTCCCCACTGCCTGCACCCTGAAGCCCGTCCCACGTCAGGGAACACTGAGCTGCACCTCTTACCCCCGCGCCCACTAGAGGGCTGGCCCGGAGTGACCCGTGACCCTGGACCCTTAGGTCGTTTCCATTAAACGACAGGATGACAAACACCCCGGCACAGACGGCTTTCTCCACATCTCCGCTGTCCCCTCAGGAGGGACTACTGGGTCAAAGGGCACGTGTGTTCTTAGGGGTTCGGATGGACAACATGGGGGCTGCTGCTGCCACTTCCAGGCCCCCCCAGGGACAGCTCCTGGCCCCATCTCCCAATGAAGTGACGACCTACCAGTTGGACAGGGCCTGCAGGGCGGCGTTCATGTAGCAGGAGTTCCCGAGGTTCTTCATGCCCGTGAGGCCTAGGAAACCGTGGCACATGGGGGAGGGGACGTGAGCACCTGCCCGGCGAGGGGCCCTCGTAGTGCACACTCGGAGAGGAGCTGTGGCTCTCGAGGCACCAGGACCCAACCAGAGGAGGACACAGTGACTGGTGTTCCACCCCGAGACGCGCCAAGTCACATGATGTGGTTCCACTAACACAGCTACGGTCACCCGAGTGTGCCACACAGGCCAACTCTGCCCTCCACCCAGCCCTGCCCACTACCCAGAGTGCACAGGGAGGGCCCAGGTGCAGAGGGGCCAGCCCGCCCCGGGTCACACGGCCGACACCACAAAGGACCCGGCTGGGCGGCCAGTGCTCCAAGAAAAGCCACCACGCGACGCGGGCCGTCCATCACGCGCCCAGTGCCCAGGGCGTGTGGAGCTTCCCGTCCAGAGCAGAGGCCCCTGGCCTAGCCCGCCCGCAACCCTGTCCCAGGGGCTGTCACCTCGCGGTTTCAGGTCATCGTCCTCTGAGTCAGACTCTCCTTCGTCAGCCACGGCAACGGGGATGGCTTTCAGAGGGTGGGAGGCCAGCGGGGAGTCCTGCATTCAAGACCCAGAGTG